GTCTGTATGAATATAATGTGAACAAAAATTTATTTGTTAAATATCGATATTTATTACATTCTTAATAAAACTTTTTGTATGTAGATAATGGCATTGCATTTGGTATTACAATTGGAGCATTAACTACTCAAAGTTGTGATGCTAGTTGGATACCCTGTTCCACATCTTGGAATCTTACGGATGCGTCGTTTAAGTTAATGGAACTTGATAGTCTTTCGGTTTATTGGAATCATGTGAAAAAAGATCAACTTTTTGGTGGTCTTAATCTAGGCGCTCTAGCTGTAAGATATGAGAAAGCTCAGTGAGCATGATAACGTCTTAATCACACATTCATACACCTATATTTTATAACAATATTTTGTAATCTTGATTTTTAGATCGCCATGAGTAAAAATAAGATTCATCGGCATATTTTATCACCTGTGAACGCAAGAGCGCACATTAAGAGGGATCGAACTGAACGTCCATTGAGGTCTATTAATAAACCGCGTATCGTAGTAGATTTGCTCTTGGATGAAGTACCATTATCTATAACAGATGTGTGTTTTACAGATAACTGTAATAGGTTTACAATTAAATATTGATTCATGCAATATAATTTGAATTATTTTTTTAGCTTCAATATGAAGAGATGGTGAAGTGTATCAAAGAGCTTGATCGTATAGATCGTCGTAAACAACAGTGGCGTTGTAGGCCAGTAGTTCCTGTTAAAACAGCTTGCAAGGAATGGTGGAAATACGCCGCCAGGTGTCATCTTGGCAGAGATGCATTCAAATCGAAACCGTCTTGGAAAAATGTACTTCTTAGAGCTAGGGAAAACATTTGTTACGTTCAAGCATACGCTAAATTGTTAGGTACAAATGAATATTTTTTAATAACTTCTATAAATTTTTACAATATTCTTGAAACGATGAAAATTTTCTTTCAAATATTTTTTTGCTAGGCACGCCTACCTCGATCTTACCTCCAGAAATTAAAATGTTGAAGGAAAAGGTCGAAAATGAGCGAAATTTTGATGAGCTTCGGATATTGAGAGAACTGGCTATGGAGAAAGTGAGACCTGCAAAGTCATCACAAGAATTTAATATGAATGTGCCACAAGGACGTGGTATGCTCGAGCAATGGTTTCCACAGTGGTGGGGTTGGTATTCAAAGACACCTCACAGCAGCAATGGAACGCAAAACGGAAGTAGCTCGACTACTTTCGACGGGGAATTGTTAGATGTTTTAGCGGACACTATGAACGATGATACTCTTCTACGTCGCGACACAGTGTTCGGACAGTTTAATTTCGCTCTGGTGCAAGGCGCGGTATCGTTGTGTACTGAGAAAGACGAAAGCAATGGTAGAAAAACTGTGATAGAACTGAAATTCGAAAGAGTGAATTTGAGCTATGAGTCACGACCCAGATCCGGGTCGCACAAGTTTTCAATTAGTTTGGGCGCATTATACCTGCATGATTTTCTCACAGAGAGTTCCACATTTCCTATTTTGATGCAACCTCAAGTCGCATCCAATGGCATGTCTTCGCGCATTCGCAATTCTTCGGAAAAACTAACGAAGACGCCGCGTCATTTATTTGAATTGATTTACGAGAAAAGACCGCTGCATATTAATGTAGATCATTTATTGCATGTGTACTCGCAATCCTTAGATATTGTGTATAATCCAATCGTGATATATTGGTTGATAGATTTTATGTGTAAGCCGCATCGATCGGCATCATCCAATCAGCGATTCCAGGCGATGAAACGTCGCACGAGAAGGCAGTTGATCAAGAATTGGGAACAAATTTTGGACGGCGATTTTGTGTATCGTTCGTCTTGGGATCTACAGTTTAAGATCTCTGCACCACAAATCTTATTGGTGGAGAGCTTCGTCGATTCCAATGCGGCTGTGGTGATGGTCGATTTTGGCAAATTACATTTATCGAATGATGCAAATCTGAATCAGGTTATATTGAAAACAGAATCAACTAATAGTGATGACGAAGATGAAAGATTTGAGACACCTTGCTCCACTCCGCCCGGAAGTCAAGAGAACGGCTCTTTACATGATTTCCAAGGTCTGTCTGAGACGGAGTTGCACAAAAAATTGTATGATCAGTACTCTATCGATCTGGTAGATCTGCAGATTTTAGTAGGTAAGACAAAGGACAATTGGAAGCACGTTCGTACGAGAAGTATGTCGAGCTTGCACTTTCTCGAAC